GGCGGGAGCACCGCCGCACTTCCCAAGCGGCGCACTATCCAGTGCGCCACCGGGCCGGCCCTGTTTTTTAACTGAAATTAAAATCACGTCTTGAAAGGAGCAATTCAGATTTAAAGAATACTAGTAAGAGGCATTTTGAATGGGAATCTGATTGAGTTCTAGAAGGTACTATTTAATCTTTTCTCATTCTGCTAATAACAAGGCAGTGTCAGCCCTCTCCTAATCAGTAGTTACCTCATCCTATAGTAACTTTCTCCCATGAATATTTAGGGAATGTTTAAGTGAAACTCATTTAATTGCAAAGTCCTTTTTCCCAAGTGACATTTGCTGAGAACTGAGTTGTTGAAGTTACATTGGCATTCGAATCACAGACTTGTTTAACCAGCAACCTCTGAGCAAAAATTCTCCTATATTTATATATTAAGAAGAATCTAGAAATACGTGTTTCTGTAAATGGAAAACCAGAGGGCTTAACGTGTTTCTTTTGGTTTTCTTTCTTCCATCTTGGCTTGTATGTATAACGTGTAAATGCAATAACTTAAAGGCTAAGATCTAATCTCTTGATATTGTTGCATGTGCCATTTAATGCCACCACTGACCTGGGATGCTGTTAATCTGGACTCAGATTCTCTTACTGGGGAAGATTCCCTGCTTGATTGCTCTCTGCTTTCTAACCCTACTGCTGACCTTCTGGAAGAGTTTGCTCCCATAGCAGTCTCTGCTCCAGCCCATAAAGGTAAATGCTTTTTCCTTTTCAGGCCCACCTTTATCTTTAGAGAAGAACTGAACAACTCCTGAGAGTTTTCCTTCTCAAAAGTCTTCGCTAGTGAAATTTTTAAACTATCTCCTTATATAGAAAACTTAAGTTTGTTCTCTTAGCCACTGTTATAATACCTCTCAGTATGAATATTTAATAAGATCTAGACAACAGATTGGTGAAGGTGTTGCTTTCTGGCAAGAACCTAGAATGCAGATATTCCACATTACCTTTGAGAGCTATGTACCTTTGCAGTCAGCTTGAGTAGATGACTGAGCTAATCATCCACTGAATTACTATAATTATTATTATGATGCTTTTTGGCCTTAGAGCTTAAAATTATTTCATCACATCTGATTCAATGTTTTTGAATAGTGATGACTGCAATAAAGGAACAGGCATAAAAATTACTTTTTTTAATTAAAAAAGAAAAAGAAACAGGCATCATTTCTCAAAAGTCAGTCCTCCAAGGTTGAACTTGTAAAAGTTTTGAATTTTAGTTCACTTTTAAGTCATTACTGATTGCTGGGTTTCTCTTTCTAATCTACCATTTCATTTCTTGGTCTTGAGTTAATACTGATTTGAAATTCTCCTGGACAGAGGTAGCTTAAGTTGAGTTCTATTCAGTGAGTAGTTTGTGGGAGTGATAGGCACAATGCCTGGCTTACTGTGCATAGGCATTTACTAAACTTTCTGTACTTGAGTAGTAAAAATGGTTTTCTGGAAGGAGAAAATGCACAGATAAGGAATTTCTGAAGGAAATTCAAGAAGGAAGCCTCCCTGAGATGACTAAAAATGATTAGCCCATGGTTTGCAGTGGTAATAGCTGAGTTTTTGTTTTTATTCCTGATAGTATTAAAATGATATGTTCTTATAGAGTATGTAGAGGAAAGTTACCTATTTAAACAATTATGTTTGGCAGGAGGGTATCAGCAGCAATGTGTGAATTACAGAGAAGCATCACTTGCAAAATAGGTGCTTGGCTAGCAGTTGCTGGTAGGGTAGCTTTATTTAGAATGGAGAAGAATATTCTAACAAACTTCTGCATTAGGTCTCAGTGCATGTGATCTTGTGCCCCAGTGTTCCCTGAAGCAGCTGAATTTGTTGGAAACTTTTTTCCCCCAGTCACAGAGCAGTGAGTCCTTTCAAAAGTAGTTTGTTTGCCTTATAGATAGTGGTTATTTCTCAAAGAGCCATTAATTCTCTTCTGCTTTTCCCCACCCCTGATTTTGAGTTTTTCAAATAATCTTAGGCCTCTTTTCTGTTGATAAAGAGGACAAATGACTAATTCCTGTGCCTTTGTGAATTAGTGACATTGAAAAGATAGATTACAGTTAATGGTCTTATAAATGGAAGAGAGAATTCTTCCAATAACCCTTCTCCCTAATCATTTATGAAAGTCTTAACATGGCCAACTCTAAAGCATTTTTTTCTGTATCCCTGTATTTTCCAGTTTTGTTACTTTTACTTCAACTCAGAAAAATAAGTACTTTCACCTGTAAAACCAACAGTGGTTGTACAACTGGGAACTTGGTGCCTCTGACATGGTCTCTCATTTGCTAATCTCTCTCTGTTGTTTCTGCTTGTGTATGTGCATTCTGTATTAAGCTGCAGAAGATAGTAATCTCATCTCAGGTTTTGATGTCCCTGAGGGCTCGGACAAGGTGGCGGAAGATGAGTTTGACCCTATTCCTGTATTGATAACCAAAAACCCACAAGGTAAGAAAAAGGACGGGAAGAAGAGAAGAGCTTGACATCAACTCTCTTTGAAATAGTAACGTACCTAATCTTCAAGGGGGATAAAAAAACATCAACATTTAATGGAGGACATTGAGGGTAATGAAAGTCATTGTAGGCTGGACCAATATAGATGGAGATAGAGATACTGGTACAGGTATCTTAAAGCTTGACCGTGGGGTTTATTTAGAGAGGTGTATTTAATAGTTTGACTAAAAGCTAGTTTTTACAAAGTATCAAGCCAAAAATAAAGTGATCTTTAGTCAGTGGAAACCTGAAGGTATATATCAAAAGCATTTAACATTTTTTATCATGATTAGAACAATCTACAATAAATATTTTTTCCAAAGAGATTAACAGTGATGCTTTGGTATCATCCACATCTTTTGAATATTTATGGAGCATTCTTTTTCCTCTTTAATGGGTTAAAATCATTTGAACATGCCATAAAACACTGAATGCCATAGGACAATATATTTTTTTAAAGCTTGTTTATATTGCAGTGTCTTAATAATTAATTTCTCCCCAAAGCAAATATTACTGATCTTTACTTTATCAGGGAGATGGCTTGATGTTATCAGGAAGTTAGTGGACAGCCAGCAATTCTCAGGCAAAATACATTTGATTTGAAAATAGCAACCTCTTTGCAAGGTATCCTATACTATGTGTCTATACTATGGTGTGTACAGAGTGGCTGAACTTTTGGTGGGAGGTGGTGGATAGCTAATTTATATGTTTAAAAATCAACACGTAAGGGTTTTGCAAATGTAAAATGTTGCTTTTCTAGGTTTTTTTGATTGTTTTTTTTTCTCCTTTGCTTGCTCTGCACATCTAAACCTTAAGCCTCTGTGTTTTGTACTGAACTCCTATCTCTCCACTTCCAGGTGGGCACTCTAGAAACAGCAGTGGGAGCTCTGAGTCCAGTCTTCCCAACCTAGCCAGGTCTTTACTGCTGGTGGATCAGCTCATAGACCTGTAGCCGTGACCCAGTAGCAGATGCAGTTCTGTAACCTTCATATCGTGATAAACATTTTCATTACGGAGTTATCAGAAAAACGATTTTTAAAAAAATATCTGCAAATAAGAGGCCCTCTAGCTCTTTTCTCCTACCCTTTGCCTTCTCCTGTAGAAATGATAAGGAAAGAAAATCACTTTGGCCCTCCAGGTATTCCTTGGCCAGTTCATCCCTGTTAGTTTGCTGTGTTTTCTCATTACCCTTCTTCAATAGCATTATCTTAAATCAAGTGCTAGATGCCATGAGCTTCACCTCTGCTGGAATCGACTCCACCAAAAGCTTAACTGTAACTGAAATCAGTGAATTGACACTTTTGTCTCATTCTTGCTAGGAATGGCCTCCCAAGTCAGTCCTCCCAAACCTTGTCTCCTTTGGTCAGATGCTGATGAATGTTTCCCTGTTTTGGCTTTTTATCCTGATGCATTATCCTGAGGACATGGCATTTCCAGTTGGTCTTAACTCTAGGCAATAGCCTGGAGATAGGTGCGTGATTTAAGAGAGAGTAAAACTGACTGACTGATAGTATATGTTTGAGAAGAGAAATTGAGCCCAGCTCTAGCCAACCAACTTTGACCTTGTGTGATCATAGACTTAGCCAAGGGATTTTACCCCACGCAACCTGTTCAACATTTGTCCAGCTTTCTGGCTTCCATTGAACCGTGATTTCTCAGATCTGGAGCCATGACTGCAAGTAGTTGAGATTCTTGGATGAAATGTGTCATTATATAAATCCCAAGTATTGCCATTCCTTTTCATGTTAAACTATCCCAAACCGGGATCTCAGAATTAGACCAAAACAAGACAATGGTGGTAATATGAAATCTTTTATTAGAAGACTTTTCACTGGGGGGTAGATTGGGGAGGGGAAGGAATTGTAGCAGAAACAGATGTATTTTTCTTGTGATTTTTATTTTGAATCAAATATTGTAAATTGTGTATAAATGAAGACGCTGAGTAGTTCTGTTTTCACTTGGCGTTTCAAGTCCAATATCAGGTGTCTGTACAGGGTTTTGATCTCTTTCCCTTGTATTTACACATGTTCCTACCGTGTAACATATGGAATCATTTTAAGTAGACTTGTGTGTTGCTATAAGCTTTCAGCAGGTCCTCTGTCTCTGTAGAATAAGCATGTTGTTTATTTTCAGATAATCAGAAATAAGTGTGTTGACAAGCTGGGCACAAATTGTTTTTTTCCTCCCTGATGTTTAAACTGAAGGCTGCAGCCAATGGAATATGTTAGTTGGTTTTCCTTGGCTTCCTTGATTAAAAAAACCAAACAAAGCATAGTTCTTCACTAACTTTAGAATATTGTTCATAAAATAAATAAAAGCCCCTGCACTGACATGGCGACATGCTTCATGTTCACCCTCTGCATATGTATTTACTCATTAAAGTACATTTTTTTCCTTACATGGAAAGCACTTTTATAAAATCACCTTTTGAAGAGTAGGCACAGAGAACCCCATCATTCTCTTCCTCTAGTGCCCCTATCCACGATCAAAAGGGGAACTCTTAGTTGACCAGATTTGTACAAATAAAATTTCAAGTCCATTTGCTTGTTTATTTAGTACTTTTGTTTCTTCTTCCTCACGTTTGCACTTTAAGGGGGAAAAAAGAAAGAAAGTTGAACAGCAACAACAGCCTGCAAAAAACTGCATTCTGTAGAACAAGTAATGACCCCAATAATGTGAGAGCAGCCTTTGAAAGACATCAGAGGGAAAGACTGATGTCTCACTCTTCCTTCTGACTTTAAATTCTTCCTGTGCTGGCTGAAACTAGGTGAGCTAAGAAAAGGTCTTTATTAGGGCCGGCCTGTGCCTCACTTGGGAGAGTGTGGTGCTGATAACACCAAGGCCATGTGTTCGTATCCCTATATAGAGATGGCCGGTTGGCTCACTTCGGAGATCGTGGTGCTGACAACACCAAGTCAAGGGATAAGATCCTCTTACTGATCATCTTTTTTTAACAAAAAAGAAGAGGTCTCTATTATGAAAACAGATCATTTCCAAAATCAAGAGAAGCACAAGCTGAGGATAAAGAAAGATATCTATGAAGAGCTCTCCATGATTGGGTAGCAATGAAAATAGAGTTTACCCCTTTATGGACAGGAAAATTGCTGCATATCAGAGTTGTATTCTCTTTCCTAGACATAGAATGTATAAACTAACAAAGGAAATGTTTATTTTTAAATAAGAATAATGTTTTAGTTCTATGTTTTCATATTTGATTTTTTAATACATATGTGTTAGAAATATAATGAAAAATCTAGTTTCTCAGTTTAATTAAAACCATGAAGAGTACAGTTTAAAAATTAGGTGTCTCTAATTTGTTCCTTTCATGCATTACCCATAATTACCTTGAGATATATTTTCTAGTCATTTGGCTCAGTAAAGCTCATCGGAGACAGCTAAATGAAAATGAACAGACTAGAAGCCAGAGACAATAGTAGAAGCCTGAGAGAACATGATCACAAGAAATTATCTTGGGCTTATCCTTAAGAGTAGGGCCTCCTCCTTCTATGTAAGGAATATATGTGAGTGGTTTGGTCAGTGGGACCTTCCTTAGTTTGTAGCATCATGCCTGAACTAAAAGAGTTTATTTAAGATGATGTGCACTAGTAATTGATTGACTTGTGGAACCATAGACTGAGATACAGGAGGGACCTTAGACTTGTCCATCCACTTCATTTTACATGTGTAGGATCTGAGCTGGATTGAGGCAGGGTGATGGGAGAAGAGGCCTGGACAGGACAGGCCACCTGGGATCTCATCCTGATCCTTGCCAGCCTCTAGCTGAGTGACGATCAGCAGGCGCTTCACCTCTCAGAGCTGCTGTTTCTCACTTATACAACAATGGGTTTGGACTAGATGATCTTTAAAATTTAGAAGTATAGGATCCTAAGTATATATTATTATGTTTAGAAGGACTATGAAGGATTTATGTAATTCTGATGTTCTTCAGTTATCTTCTGTCATCTCTGCTATTATAGCAGTATTTACATTTTAGAGAATTGTAATGGACTTTTACTCACCTGGGTTGCTCTTTCTTGGTTATCTGAATAGAAGCCTAAATCACAAAGTTTGGGATGTAGATTTTCCTTTTTTAATATTATACACACATGCAACCCCCCCCCCCAATCTATTCCAATAAAACAATGTCAGAAGACTGATTCTTTTTAAATATAATCAGAGATCCGCCATTAAAAAATGGGCAAATACTATAGCATATGTTTTTTTATTTGATTTTATTCCAATCCAACTGTGTAAGAGTAGTACTTCTACCAGAAAACATCACAAATTTTTTTTCCCCTTTACAGCATTCAAATAATGAGATAACCAAATTCAAGTCCCAGTGTTTTTAAAAATACAGGCCTCAGGGGAGATAAGGTTTAAATGAACACTTATAAACATAATTATAATTATTACAACTAATGACTTATGTACCAGACATATCAGAATTTTGACATCTGATTGAATTTTGTTCCCTTCAAAGGTGTCTGCTTTTACTTGGGAAGTTAATACTTATTCTAATGATGCTGCCATCATCATTTGAAACTCCTCTCCTTAGAAATAACATCAAGGAAGGTAATAAGGTGTAAGAAAATCAGTAGTATTATCTAAATGGTATCACTTTTAGCATCTGAAAGTATATTCTCTTTCTTGATCTACTTTTCTACCACTCTTGGTTCTGAGTAACATTTAGCTATTTTCAAAAAGCAAAATGACCACCATAAGATGAAAAGTGGTTGCTACTGAAGATAATAAAAAGAATAATCCACAAAACATTCTCAGAAAGGGCCATATAATAGAAAATGAACACAATCATACTTCATTTTTTAAATATTCTGAATAAGGGAACTTCTGTGATTCTCTAGTCTTTCATGTGGTTTAGAAAATTGAAGATGTTGGTTTTAAAATACCTCTGAAAGAGGTTGTCACTTTGTTCAGTGTCATTTGATATTGGACTTGGCTCTTCCTGAATTAGAATTAGAGAAGTTGCTAATATTTCTAGCAAACAAACCCAAGAAAAGAAGTGATTTTTCTCAAGATGTAATTAGTTTTGTAGTGTCATTTGATATTGGACTTGGCTCTTCCTGAATTAGAATTAGAGAAGTTGCTAATATTTGTAGCAAACAAACCCAAGAAAAGAAGTGATTTTTCTCAAGATGTAATATTAGTTTTGTTTTTAATATTTATTTCCTACTCTCCTGACAGATCATTGATCATTTTAATTCAAACCAACATAACCTTCCCCCAGGCCAGGACCAGTTCTGCCTTCAGCAGTGCTGTGGGAATGAGGGGTCCTTTGAGGCTTACATGCCCAGAGGTGTGGAGGGATTTGCCATTCAGCTGAACAGATGCATGCTGCAGATAGCTTGGGCCAAAATAAGGTCTCCCGTGATGAGGTTTTTCTGTGATCTCCAGGAGTCCTTAAACTTCTCGGTCTGTAAGATTATCCAAGTCCTGTAGCCACTACTTCAAGTTTTGGGATTTAAAATGACAGGATTGCCCAATGGTACTGAATTAAGCCAATTAGAGGCTATCCAGCAGAACAGGATATTTACAATGGAATCTGTACCTAAACACTCAGGATATTGCAAAGCTATCTTCTGTTTCTCTCTAGAGACTATAATTTTACCAACACATAGTTTAGCCTTTTTCTTTCTCACGCTAGTAATGTTCCTGAAGTTAGATGTGTCTGGATTTCTTGAATCAGAATGAATCCCAGATGGCCTCCATTTCAAATAATCTGTAACAAGATCGTATTTTGTTTCTACTGTGTTTCCGTTCACTAAAATGGGAGAGGGAGGCTTCTTGTGTAATGCTAACCTATGCAAACAAAGTAACGAATGGTGGTAGTTGCTAGAATGGAAGGCACTTTCTTGGTTCCCACTTTGATGTAGTGTCCTGAATTTACTCTTTTCCTGTGAGAATTCTACACTGCCCCGTTACACACTCCTTTGTCATGTGGTTGTATATTTACCATAGGTCTTTAACCTGTCCTCCCCAAGAAGACAAAGCAAACAGATGTACATGAAGCTATATTATGCAGTAAAAATGTGAAATTTGAACATTGCTACGCAAGGATTGTATAAAAAACAAGTCTGTAAACAAATTTCTTATGTAAACATACAGGGGAATAAAGACTTTTATCTGTTCAAATGAGAGCATGATGTTTAGAGATGTAAATATTAAAATAGCTGCTGTTTTCCTGAGCTGAAAACCCACTTTTGCAGAATGGATTTAAACACACTGTTGAGTGACCAGTGTGTACCAGTGCACAAGAAAAGTGGACACCTGAGAAAAACACTGAGGGCATTTTAAGAGTCATGGCTACCCTGGAGAACAAAACCCCTTGGAGTCAAGAAGAATAAAACATTTTATATGACCAGACATGGGGTTGTAAAATGGAGCACAGATTTGCAGCTACCCTCCTCTGATTTAATCTTTAATATACTCAGGCCAATTTAATTAAACATTTTATGTTGGCAAGAACAATTTTATGCCCCGTGGGAAATCTCTCTCATTTAATTCCCTCATTGGCTTGAGAGGCACAGCATTACTAGCCAGTGTTGGCTCCCGTCAAGTCCCTTATTCCCCAGACGTGGGTTTTAATACAGCTCCCCAACATATGATAGAACCAAATGTTTAATTTTATCTGAGCCAAAAGGTTATGGAAATTATTAGTTTGGTGTACATCTCGATTCCCTGATTTGATTCCAAGACTTTAAATTTCAATTGGTGCTGCATTTCCAAAGTTCTTATGAAGGGTTATTTTGCTTTCTGTTCACTAACTATATGAGAAGTCTTCTGAATTCTCCAAGTCTTCATTTTCAGTTCTTGGCAAGAATTATGTCTTTGATACTCCTTGTAACTGTTATTTATTTATAGTATAGGGAAAAATAAAATTCTGGTTGTTCATGATATATTGCATTAAGAAATATCCAGCCTGAAATTTAAATCTTTGGATTTTGATTCTTCAGAGAGCACTCTAAAGACCCTCACTATGTCAATCAGTTAAAATTTCCAGGGTAAACTCATCCCAAATCGTTGGCCCTTTTGGTTGCTTTGGAAGTTAAGAGAGAGTTAGAATAGTTGCCAGGTCAAGTGCTTTCTGAGACTTCTTTCAACTTTCTAAAGCACATGAGTTCTTAGTGAAATCTCATAATTTGGAGCCTAAATATGGAGTTACCCCTGGTGGAAGTGTCAAAGAGTGTGCTTAACCTGGCATACAGTACTACATCAGAGCAAGAAAAAGGAGTATGTTCTGACTTCCTGCTTAATTTGATGTGCTAAACCAAAGTAGAAGGAGACATGACCCAGCCTGAGAGAATTATAACAAAACCCTCCTTTAAGCTCCATCAAAAATTAAGACCATTGTGCAGACTATGAGGTCAGGCCATGGGATTAAGCCCCTGCGGAACAATAGGCTAGCTTTATTGCGCTCTGTGGTCCCAGGGTATCTGCTATGCTTGCCATTGGTTACCAAAAGAACTGGGCCAGGGAAACTGGTATACATTCTTCATTACTAGTAGGCAGGCTGCTTCAAACATGTTTTCTTGTTGGTATAAGGCTATCTTCATATACAAGGACTGTTCACCCTGAAAACACATGCTTTCCCTATAAGAACACATCCACAAAAAAGATCTTTATTGCTAACAAGACTTAATGTCTACCTTTTATTTACAGTTATTTGGAATCTGTCCTTCTCCTGACTACGTTGTTTCTTGTGCTACCACCACCAGAATTCCCTAAGGGAATGTGGATGTTTAGCCTTCCCCCATATTCTCTGGCATTTCTTTGGCCTTTAGAGTGCCAGGGTTGTTGCTCTCTGCCTCAGTTATGCTTCACCTTCTCTAAAAAGAATGGAAATGTTGAGAGATTTGACCTTCTCAGAAAAACCCTTTAAGTACTTTTCCAGTCCTACAAAGCATATTGATTCTGAAAGAGAGATAGGAAATAGCTCTGGTCTTTATTTTGAAGGACAAGAGACTAGTTTTCCCTTCAAACTTGATGTGTTATGGTGTTTTTGTGATCGTGTTTGTGAATTTTTAAAAATTATTGGAATTTTAAGGATGGTTTTCCCACTACTCACTGTGAACATTATAGAATATGCTCAGAGTTGAAAGGTAATAACACTTTTTAACAGAGTTTTGATGGATTAGGCATGTTCTTCCATCCTGTCCAACTCTGGATATGGGCACACCCCCACCCCCCACTCCACCCCCAGGACTTCACAGTTCTCAAAATGTAGTCTAGCACTGCAGGCATTCAAAGTGCCCTGGTTCAATAGATAGTTCTTTTTTTTTTCTTTTTTCCTTTTTTGTCTTTTTTACTGACCGGCAATGGGATCGCAATCCTCGGTGTTGCGCCCGCACCACGCTCAGCCAGTGAGCAGGAACCGGTCTCCACATGGGATCCGAACCCTCGGTGGGAGCGCCGCCGTGCTCCCAAGCGGCGCACTCTCCAGTTCGCCGCCGGGCCGGCCCAATAGATAGTTCTTTATTGGCAGTCTCTACATACAAATTGGTTTGACTGAATTCAATTTAAATTGCCAAAAAACACTGACTCCAGTCAAACTAGGGTCCATTTTGATTATTGACCTGTATGATGCCACAGTTAGTCATTGGCTTGACTAAGTTTTCCATGTTTCCGAAGAGATATTGTGCTCTACTGCAGAACCAGCTTTAATGACATCAAATTTCAGGGTAGTTTTGGAAGATGAGAAATTGTGCAGTTTTTGGCAACTGAAAACTTTGTCCAGCTGATGCTATGTGAGGAAAATGGTTCAAGTTTTAGGGGCCTCTTGTACCTCTTTAAGGCTTGACAAATTTTATTTTGGAAAACTTCTTTGCTGTCTTTTATTTGAATTTCCTCCCAGAAACCATCATCTGGGTATCACTGAGACAGATCTAATATCAATATACTTACCTGAGAAATTAAAATTATGTCTTTCCACATACATTGCAAAGGAGAAGGTGTCCCATTTATTTCCTGTAAGCTGACTAATGCTTTTGCATCACCATGTAGCTTCACATATTAAAGTTGTAATGCAGGGACAAATTTATTCTCTCCAAAATTATATTCTTCAAATACTATTCAAAAAACCATTTGGCACCAGTACAGAATTTAACTTAAAATTCTAATTTCTAATTAATTGACTGCATTCAAACTGTTGGAAAGGGAAGTAAAAATGGGGGGAAAACAGCTTTTGATTGTTTCTGAAAACGGAATTTAAAGTCAGAACTGTTTAAAAAGAAGCTAAAAAGTTACAGGATTCAGAGAAACATAGTATTTTTGTACAGTATCCTATAAAATGTTCAGACCTCTCTCTACGTTCTCTTTAAAATGTATTGTCGCTAAGTTACTGGTTTCCCAATAAACTGATTTTGATGCCTCTTCTGTGTTATGTGTGCTTAATTAAAGCAGAAACTTTAATGGGATAATATTTCACAGAAATTTCTGCTAGCTTGTGGTTTACATAGGAGGGGAGAGGGTCAGTGTGGGGAGGGGTGATTGAGTTCCATCTGTACAGTGGTTCTGAGTCCTCTGTGGCTCCAAATCATTGTACCTAACATTCTTATCCCGGTGGGTTGGGAAACTCCAGTGGTTTCTCTTTATTGAGCCCAGGGTGAAATGATACCTTTACCCTCAACCACCCTTTCTCTGGATTCTTCTTGCTTAGTTACATATGCCTTTTTCCTGCCCTTTTGCTAACATGTGCCCAATGACATACTTCTAACCTGCTAATATTTCTTGGAAGGTAAGCTGTCTTGTATTCTGATAATTGTCTATTTGATTTTAAAAGCCAGAGCACCCTGAGGCACCTCTACCTAGACAGAAATAGACTAGTATATTGGAGTTTGCTAATATTTATATAATTACCCATGCATTTTACTCCTTCTGCTTAAAGAACTTTAAGACAGATTCATTTAAGCAGAGATCTTTGCCCACTTAGAAGATAGAAAACAAAATTCCAGGGCAGCTCCAGCTGAAGGTGATTTATTTAGTACAATTTTGATTCTGTATCCATTCCTTAGAAAGTGCCTTCAGTGTTTGTGTTTTGGGCACACTTGTGCTCTTTGAGTAGGGCTGGTGATGTAAATCATCAGGTAAATGTGCATTTATCAAGCAGCCACATTCTGCTTCTTTTCAGAGGGTCTGTCCCTCTGCATGTGGAGCAGATGACCACATGCCAGATACTGAACTGATTTCATCCCCAGACAGTGTTTCAGTATATTCCGAAACTGTCATGGTATATGTGGAGATGAGTGACTGCATTTGTTTCCATCCCATGATGATCCAGTGCCAGGTAGAGCAGGTGTCGGTGCCTGGACCACGAGTAGGAGCATCACGTAGTTCTGCAGAATGTCTGTGTGCCTAACGTCTTCATCTCCTTTCCTGCACCTTGTGCCTATCATGTTCCAAACTGTGAGACAGTGATTGGTTGTGTTCTAGTTTGTGTGCACTTTCCTTGCCTGACTTTTATTTTTCTGTTTTTCCTTTTCCATTTTCAACATCTATTATTTGGTCCCACAATGTTTCTGCCGCGGTTTGACTATTAAATGTTCCCAAAAGAGTTGAACTGACCTACACATTAATTCTGCATTTTATGCTTTTCTAGGTCTCCAGAGAGAGCCCAGTCCTTGTCCTGTAATAACTGTAGAGCACTTTAAAGAATCGACTGGTATTAAAGGCCTACCCCTGTATCCAGACCCCTCCAGAATACCTGGCACGAAGACTCAGAACAATTTAGAATCCGACTATTTGGCCAGAGATGGCCCTTCAAGCAACAGCTCATTCCACAGCAGTGAAGAGGAAGGGACTGACCTTGAGGGAGACATGCTAGACTGCAGTGGGTCTCGACCTCTCCTTTTGGAGTCTGAAGAAGAGGATGAGAGCTGCAAGCCCCCCCAGGGGAAGCTGGGAGGAACTGTTCCATCTGCTCTGCCTGAAGTCTCTACTGAGCAAGCAAAGGCATTGCAAGGTAGAAGAAAGAACCAGTTCCAAGCCCTCACACAACCAGCTGCTGATGGGCTTGGTGAGCCAGATGTTTTTGCCACAGCCCCCTTCAGGAGCTCAAGGGTTCCAGCTAATGACATGGACATTTTCTCCAAAGCTCCATTTGTCTCCAAGGGCAATGTGGCTCCTTCCCAACCAGAGGAGGCAGACGTGTTCTTGAGAGCTCCTTTTACTAAGAAGAAAAGCATGGAGGAGTTAACAGTTGTCCAGAGTACCTCCCAGGAGTTGCCTGCTCAGGCCAGTCTCCTAGGTCAGACGGGTGATGTCCCTCTGCTCTCAGGCCTTGATAGAGCAGTGTACACCTCTGTCCGAGCTCAGTATTCCATGGTTGGTTTTGTGCAACAGTCTAACTTCCCTTCCCCTTCTGTACAAATGGCAGACCATCTTGACAGCATCTCTCCCAGGGGTTCCTCCCTGGAATCTGGGGGCCATCCTAGTGACAGAAACAAAGGACCTCCGCCCCAGAAAGAAGCTGTCTCAGGCCCCATGACTGGCAAACCATTCCGCCCCCAATCCTTATCCAAATATTCCCGTCACTATAGCCCAGAAGATGAGCCAAGTCCAGAAGCCCAGCCCATTGCTGCCTACAAGATTGTTTCACAAACCAACAAGCAGTCAATAGCTGGCTCTGTTTCCATCACATCCCTTTCCTCCAGGACTGCAGAGCTGCCACCTGCTGATCCTTTTGCTTTGGCACCCTTTCCTTCAAAATCAGGCAAGCAGAAACCTTAGGAGCAATACCTAAGCCTTAGGCCTCTGTCTCCACCCCACCCCCAATACCCACCACACCCCACTCCCTGCAGAGCCTTCCCAAGAAGAAATATTATCAATTATTACCTTTCAGTTCCCTGCATCAGAGCTGAATTATTTCATTCAACAAACTCAGTTGTAGTGATATTTAGTTGAATCCCCTTTAAGTTATGCTCATTTTTGTTGTTGTTAATGTTGATTTCTGGACTTTCACGCATTTCCATTTCCTTCATAGAGGCCTTCCACCTACACCCAGAACTCTGCTTTTTTTTTTTTTTTCTGAGAAACTGTTTTAAACCCAAGAATAGTTTACCCCAATCCCAGAGGGGCTGTATTATTGCTAGTTTTAATTCCTGCTGCTCCATTTCTGAGTCATGTCCATTGAAGAATCAAGATAGTCCCTCTAGGACTTGGCTTAATACTCTTGAAAAGGGGAAAGAGCAAGATAAAAGTCCTGCACATCAAGAAATATAATCCTGCAGCTACAAACCATTCCTGTAGAACCAGCAGCTCTACGAGGATTCTCTGGATCTGTTTCTGAGTCTGTGCAAGCCAGGCTGGCCCTCATGCATGCATGTCTGTGGGTGTGTAATGTGCATCAGATCCTTTCCTGTGTAGATGTGAACACAGATGGGATAACTGCTCATGTCTAATTGTGTTGGCAGGGCCTTCCCCACATCCATGCTTTTTAAATTAGTACAAGTGCACAGGTATGTGTGTGCATGCACAGGAAGCATTTTTCTTTTAGGTAAATCCTGTCCCATCATGCCCACTCCATAATCAAATCGCTCATTTACTGGTGTTTATCTGCTGACCTAACTGACTTGAGTCCTGTTTGTTTTTTTGTTTTGTTTCAGCTTTTTTCTCATGGCAAAATTGAATTCATTGCAAGGTGTAGGGAAATACTACTTAAACAGGTTTCAGAGTAGATTTTTTTTCCTCCAAAATTTGCTTTTTGCTATTAACAAATTCCTTTTACCTGGTTGTGAAAAATTGTTTTTATACATTTTCACTTCACAACAAGAGAAAAGAGCCCCTCGTTTCAGTTCCAACCACTGGATATATGGACTCAATGCCATCATTATAGAACCCATTAATCATGAGACTAGGCTACAGACTACGTTTGCTTGCTTTTTGTTTTTTCCCTAGATCTTCGTCATCTCTCTCTATTGCCAGTTGAGGAAATATAAATCTGAGACATGTAAATGAGTTTGTCTAGGAGAAAGGAAAAGAGCTGAATCAGCTAGCCATGAAAACCCTTAAATTCTGTATCCTCTTTAGATGTTGAAGTAGGCCAGACAGGTGACTGACTTGCATTTTTGAAAATGTCTTTTATTTCTGGAAAGATCTGACTCATTCCCAGCTTTTTTCATATGCTTTATTATTAGTGCCTTAAAATAACTAAATAAAATAAACCCTGCATCTTAATGGGGAGATTTCTCCTGAGGAAGTCCAACTTAATAGAAAGTTGCTGCATCAAGTTTCAATTTGAAATCTTCCTGTGACTTCTAGTAAAAGTTAGTGATTTCTCCATTAGCTGGAGAAGTTCAGAGAGTTATTTACCAAACCTGATTAATGATTTAAGAATTATTTGAAATTCTTCCAAGAATAAAGCCTAAATGTCAAGCTCTACTGCTGTTGATTAGGTGTGATATTCTTTAAATTTAAAGTTAGAGAACTTAGTAGTAAAATATGAAGAGCTACTTTTCAACAATTTCTCATTTTTCTTTTTTCTTTTTTTTTTTGGTTAGCCTCTACCTATTTCAGATGTCCAGGTTAAAAAATAGCTTAAATAATTGGCACTGTGTCAGGACTACTAGCAGTAGTTGCCAACTGAGGTCTCAACTGTGCCAGAAACCTATGTCTTTCACTTTGGTGGATGCTAAATGTTCATTCTAAGGATTTGCATTCTCCCAGTTATCATTTCTGATTTTTCTGTGCAACAGTGGATGCAAAATCATCTTTCCAGATGAATAATAGTTTTGGCTAATGCACATGGATCTTTGCACCCTAAACTCTATCCATGGTCATTATCAAGTGAAGCCTTCAAAGGAATGAGCTAAGAGGCTAAGTAGTATTCAGGGAGAATTTTCACCCCAGGTTAGAAACTCTTAAAAGTGGGAGGTCATTGTGCTTCACTTTTTCAAATATAGGTTGAGCATTCCTAATTTGAAAATCCAAAATCCTAAATGCTCCAAAATCTGAAACTTTCTGAGCACAGACATGATGCTGAACTGTATTAAGGATGCTCAACTGATAATGTATTCTGCAAATATTCCAAAATCTGAAAAAATCTGAAATCTGAAATACTTCTGGTCCCAAGCATTTCAGAAAAGGAATACTCAACTGTATTCAGGATTACCTCTATAACAGCCCTGAAAGATATTTTTCCCTTGGGTTTGATCACTCCCTCCTAATCAAGAGACCATTTTAATTCTCAAGGTACAAATCAGAATAAAATCATTTTAAGCAGTTGAATAATTTGTCAAACATGGGCTTGTAACCCTCTTTTTTTTCTCTCTGGAGACCTATGATGAGTGGAGACTCTGCATACCTTCTTCGAATAGGAAAATGAATGTAAAAACATGCAAATTACTTTTGTTTTTATCTTATTCAGTGATGCATGAAAAAAATTTGATTTGTGTATTAATTGTTAGCTAATAACTGGTGAATTCTACCGACTTGTACTATAGTAGGGTTTTATTTCCTGTCTAATGGTGTTCTTTGGATCATGTTGGGTAAATGTATTATTTAAAGATAAAATATTCTTGCCAGAGATCATCCTGAATCTGGAAACCTGGAAAATTTTGTTTTAAGGAGAATCACGAGTGCTTGGGGTGCTATGAATTAGTAGAAATGCATGTTTCCAACAACTATATTGCAACAGGTTAACATAAAAGAGAAAAAGAAAATATATAGTCAACAAAATACTGCACTTTCTAGTTTTAATTTGTGTTGTGTGTTATTTACTTTACACATTTGATAGGAAAGACAGGAACTTGTGACCTTTCATTTCAGTGGAAAGCAATGAGCCAGAATATATTTAGGCATAAAGCATTGAACCACAACATGTACTGATGAATTCCTAAAGAATCCACATTAAATGACTGATAGACACTATTGAATTAATGAAGTTATCTTAATGTGTGGTGAAAAAAATTTAACATAGTTTATTGGGCTCACGTATAACCCTTTGGTTCCAAATCCTTGGTTGGATTAGAAAATGGAGTGAATAAAATTTGATGCTGAAGCAGATGCTGGGCAGGACCTAAGGGAATCTAGGTCATAAACCCTATTTCATTTTGGGCCCACTTATTGTTGAGTTGAAAATCTCATATGTGTAGGCTGCTGTGTGTGTGTTTACAGGGCCATGTTGGGTCTGAGTTTGATCTGGCAACCAAGGTCTCTTTCTAAACTTTCAAGAAAGATACCGATATCTTATTGGCCCATTATTTATTTAGTTAAGTTTTAGAATACATGTACATCAGTGTTCTCAACTATTTGGTGGACATTTCACCGATGTGTAAGGAAAGTAGCAGATTTAAATATAATAACCTGAGTGATCTGACAATAGAAATTTTCTATTTGCTTCCAAAAAGAAAAATAATCAAAACAGTAAATCAAATAGGAAATTTAATTATAAGAAATTAAAGAGGGCTGGCCCGGTGGCGCACTGCTGTAGTGCGCCGCTTGGGAAGTGTGGCGGCGCTCCCGCCGAGGGTTCGGATCCCACATACAGACCGGTTCCCGCTCACTGGCTGAGCGAGGCGCGGGAGCAACACCGAGGGCTGCGATCCCGTTGCCGGTCCCGGTCCAGTGCGGGGGCGACACTGAGGGTTGCGATCCGTTGCCGGACACGGAAAAAGACAAAAAAAAAAAAAAAGAAATTAAAGAAAGGGGAGATCCAATTCACTCAGCAGGAAGGATACAGCTTAAGATGGTCATTTCAGTCCCTTTAATAAACGAAGATGTTATTTGCTGTGTGTTTGGAGTTGAAGTTGGAGAACACATACCACCTGTCAACTCTGAAATGGCTGCTGGTCACACAGATGTGGTTTTATCTGAGAATTTTGGAACCCAAACTATTTTGATGAAAGGTACATAGGAAAGCTGCAGAAAAGACTGCAGACTGCATCCTCTAAAGAGAGAGAAGCACCTTGTTAATGTCCACAACCACCCCTGATTTCTAGCTTCCTGTCCTACTTGAAGGAGTAAACATTGAAAACTTTAAAGGGAATCATGTAATTTAAATTGTTTTCCCATTGCCTTTGTCAACTAATACTAGTTTTTTGTTTTTTATTTTGTTTTAATCACCAGCACACTTGCAAACTTGTTATTGAAAATTTTACTAAAGGAAGAGAAGAGTTTCAAAAGGCTTGAGGGTAAAAAGTAGTATCAAGTTGGGAATTGCTTTTTTTCTGTTCCTGAAAGTCTTCCTGAGTCACCACCCTTGTTGTTCCCATTTCTTCACTTCACATTCCCCTTTTTTGACCACACTAATATGTGGATGATGAAAGGTAAAGGTGAATGATCATGTTAACTTTTATTTGCCTCCTTAAGTTTCAGCCCAGCCTGTGACCATCACACCAAATATGAATGAAATGGCTCAATTTCCCATTTCTTATGGACTAGAAGAAAGGATGAAGGAAAGTTGGCAGGACCCCAACCTTGCTCTCTGGAGACACAACACAGAGGCAGCTCTCCACCTTGATTTTACACACAGGCCCAGAGTGCCTAGAATGTAAGGGCGAGTTTGTGTGTGAAGGGACTCTAGAATAGCTGATAAAAATGGCTAGATGTTAACCATACATGGCTTAGTCCAGTATTCCCATAACTTGTAATTCCATAAATTTAGTCTGACTTGTATCCCAGCAATCACTAAGTATCTGTGACCCCATTTTGAGTTTATAGTAACAATGTTCTTGAAATCAAGTCAATGTTACCTGTATTGCATTGTAATAGAACCATATATACTGCATAAGTGGTTTTTACCAATGTCGGTTAAAGTAGGATGGGCTAGAGTTTGGGAGTAAGGGGAGACAGTGCAGCCTTTGCACTCTGAAATGGCAAGACAGTTGTAGTCTCTGAGTCTACCAAAGATTCCTGTTTGAGGGGTGTGAATGGAGTGTGTGTGTCTGTGTGTGCATGCATGCATGCACATATATCATCATGCTTTCTTCCATGGTGTTAATTCAAGCACTCCAAATAAAGGCATCCAAAGAATACTGAGAAATGACCGTAGGTATTTGGCATAAGTTAATTTGATCCCCTTTGCCAAAAACTCTCAAAGTTGGAACTGGAGTTCTCAACAAAGGTGGGGGAAATGGACCATTGCTTTAGCCTCATTCTCCAGTAAACATCTTCTCATCCACAAAGATGAAACTCAGGAGGGCTTGTCCTAAAGGCTCATGTGTGGCATTGGGAGGGCAATAGTGACCAGAACACCACAAGGCCTGCAAGATGTTACTTTGAATGAGGGAACATTTAACATCGTTTGTTCTGTGGAGAAGAGGTGAACTCCCTCTTCTGACTATTTGAGTTGACTGAGGAGGTTCTACCCAGCTGTAAAGAGTGTTGAGGCCATCATGCCTCAGAAAATAATGTGCATACAATCTCAAGGGCTGTCAACAAGGGAAAGGAAGGGAAAAACATCTATAAAGTCAATCTTAGTTTTTGCAATACCTCTCATTTCCAGACTGTTGGGTTTATGTTATTGCACTCTTAGTGTGATCTATCTTATGTATCTGAGAGTTTTTATGAATAATTGTTTGAGTTGTAAACTCCTATACACTTTATTAAAATGAACCTAATTAAATAATTTACACTTTGTGTTATTTCTTGAATCAGATCTTCCTAGGGTTAGAGGGATCTATAGGCATCTTTCACTTAGTACAAAGCCTATTAGTATATTTTTAATATTCTTGAGAGAGACCAGCATTAATATAAAGAGAAGTCTTAGAAGAAAATGAACCTAAGAATTTAAAAAATTCATACTGTGAGGAAGAACCTGGCTATTTCCTCTCCAAGTGATGCACGTTAAAGGTAGAGGAAGCCAAGGAATATACGTAGCCACTAGAAGCTGAAAAAGACAAGGAAATGGATTCTCCTCTTAGGACCTCTAGAAGGAACCAGCACTGTTGATACCTTGACTTTAGCCCAGTGAAAATGATCTCAAACTTCTGACTTCCAGACTGTAAGAGAAAAAAATTTTTGTCTTAAGCAATTAAATTTGTGGTAATTTGTTACAGTAGAAATAGGAGACTAATACAGCTATAGTGGCACCACTGTATGGTAATGGCATGATTACCTCAGCCCACCAGCTTTGAGATTGTGCTTTACCTGACAATTTTTTTTTACCTGATAATTTTTAATGTTTGCATTTATTTTTTATTTTGATAGTTTCTAAATCTTTCACGTAACATTTTCAAATTAATATAAAATGCAGCCATATGAGAGCTTGAACAGAATTGGAAAGGGAAAACTAGAGAGCTTGCCAGTAGGGGACATGGATGAAGGATTAATGGGGGAAACACTTGAGCATATTTGAATGCTTTAGCAGCCAAAGAGAAACTATCTGGAGAGACAGAGCAGATGAAGAAGAGGGAGTGAGAGAATGAAAAGTAAATGGACAACGAGCACAACTAGCACTCAGTTCTTAGTTTCTAAGTACCATTTTCTTTTTTTTTTAAAGATGACTGGTAAGGGGATATCAACCCTTGGCTTGGTGTCATCAGCAGCACACTCTCTCAAGTGAGCTAACCCGCCATCCCTACATAGGGATCTGAACCTGTGGCCTTGGTGTTATCAGCACCACACTCTCCCAAGTGAGCCACGGGCCAGCCCTCTAAATACAATTTTCTAATGGCATAGAACCAGGGTTCCATGGAGAGATGGCTGATTCTAGGGCTAGAGCAGAATGTATACAAGATGATACAGGAGCATCTTGTAGTGTGGTACCAGAAAGTAAAGAAGTGCTTTTTCTTTTTTCTTTTTTTTTTTTTCTTTTTTGTCTTTTTCCGTGTCCGGCAACGGATCGCAACCCTCAGTGTCGCCCCCGCTCCGGACCGGGACCAGCAATGGGATCGCAACCCCCGGCATCGCTCCCGCGCCCCGCTCAGCCAGTGAGCGGGAACCGGTCTGCACGTGGGATCCGAACCCTCAGCGGGAGCGCCGCCACACTTCCCAAGCGGCACACTATAGCAGTGCGCCACCGGGCCAGCCCAAGAAGTGCTTTTTCTAAAAAAAACCCCACAATTTCAGATCCCTACACTGGCCAACCACAAAAAAAAAAAAAAAAAAAAAGTCACAGGGACACGAGCTAACCTGAAAGAACTGGTCGAAGCTAGAACAATGGTCAAAGCTAGAACAATTTGAACAATAAAATACTGTAGTGTTAGATTATAACACAAAGTATAAAGTAAATATTCATGAGCCCATGATTAAAATGATTAAATAAGTGGGGAAGAAAAGACAAATCTCACACAGAATTTCAATTAATTTAGATCTCCCCACTTCCCCCCCGGAAATGGAGTCTAATTCTACACACCTTGAATGTGGACTGTGCTTCCAAAAAGTAGCACATGGAAAAGGGGTAGGGGAATAACTTTACAGTGGACAAAACTGACAAATATCACCTCAGACACTTGATCAAGGTCAACATCAACAGTGATAAGTCATGTTGATAGTCTGTACCCTTGATGTGATATGAAGGGCACTTCGCTTCTGTGGTCTTCCTCCCCAAAACTCACATCCCCATTCAAACCAAGAGAATAACATCAGACAAATCCCCATTGAGGGACACTCTACAAAATACCTAACCAATACTCCTCAAAACTCAGTCATTGAAAACAACGAATGTCTGAGAAACTGACAGGCCAGGAGAGACTGGGAAACATGGAGACTAACCGTAATACTGTATATCCCAGAAA